GTAAGGCCAGGAGCCCCTAGTAGCTTCCTTGCTCCTAGTAGGGATGCCAGGAGCCCCTAGTAGCGACCTTGCCAGACCCGTGGATCCACGGACGTCCGTCATCGACAGGAGTGCTCGCCCCTCTGTTGTCCGGAAGTCGGTGACCTTCGGTCCTGAGTCCTTGCCGCTTGGCTGAAGCTTGCTGAACAAAACGTCGGTCACCTTGATGAAGGGCTCCGACCCGATTCTTGTAACTCAAACACTCCATGGAACATCATGGCAGCTGGAATATTTATACATCCCTTGACCCCCTTTTTGAATCAGATGGGGTGCAATCCATGGAGTGCCGTTAGGGGTGCCCAGGACATCCACTCACTTGATGGGACGAGCCACACCACCCCGAGCTCTGTGACCCATGGTAGTGGGACTGGTTTGGACACTGATCGTGTGGTTGAGAGATGAGGGGTCGTCTATGGGGTCTATGGGGTCATGGGGCTCGGTGTTTCTGTGCCAGTTCCAGGTGGTGTTTGGGATAGTCATGGGCCTAAACAACTTGACAAGATTTATCTTGGGATGGTCCTCCTTTGGCGGACCGACCCACACTACATGACTCATGCGATGGTTTTACCTGTTTTGGTCAGCTCTGCTTGGGCATCCACCGTTGTGATGCCGGTTGGACCGTGTAACACTGAACCTTTCTGCACTTCCGTGGCTTCTTCGCGGCCGCGCGTCCACTCCTCCGCGCGGTGTCGGCAACGCTTCGCTTCGCTCTTCACGCCGACAGGGGCAGCTCTTGGCGAATCGAACTCTCGACCGGCGCGGGGGAGTTCCTGGCACAGCTACTGGGCACCGAACAGGGTCGGAGACCGAACAGGTCAGCGGGGCGGAGGGTGTCGGATGCGGTGGGCGGCGGGGTTTGGGAGCATGGGTGTGTTTGGCAGGGAAAGCCAGAAGAATTCTGAGAGCCAGACGCTCTACAGGAGAATTCTGCAGACTTCTGCCAACACGCGATTGAAAGCTTATATAAACCTGTTTAAACCTTTAAACCACCCAGGTGGCGCCCAGACCCGACCCACCCCACGGGGGTTGAACGAATTCACTGAGCTGTGCGGGAAACTGTAAGACTGTAAGGCCACCACTTGCCATTGGCGTGACGCTGTTGCGCCCACCCGTCAAGGGCTTAAACTGTTCTAAACCAGGACCTTCAAGGGGTGGTTAATGGACACCCCTTAACGGCTAAGGGGCTATAAATAGACACCCCTTGGAGGGTCCTGGAATGTTATTGACAGTTTCTATAAGTCTTGGGCCAACGTTGCGACCACAGGCCGGAGATCTCTCCTGTTGGCCATGGAGAGTTCATGCTCGAACATCTTTGCCATTGCACTGTAACTACAGCCATGCAGCACATGCTACGATGCGCTCTGTGTGTGTGCCCAGTTTGCCTGCGATTTGCCTGCAACCTGGGAGCGACGTGTTTCCCATCCTGATCAGATGTCCATTCGCTGGGTGTCTTCCCCCACCAAATCAATCTTGAAATGGGTTGTGTCGGAGCTCGGCGATTGTTCGATCATACCACCTTCAAAGTGACCTCTTTGGAGTCTCTGTCTGTGACCTTGTACAGACCTGTTTGTGACCTCATCCTGGGATATCAAGTTGGGTCACGTACTGAAGGTCCTGGTATTGAACATCATTTCAAGCAGGGCCGTGTGCTTCTTGAGGGCGGGGGGCCATGAATCCCCACCAACTACCTCCGTTTCGAAGGTGGTTAAGGTGGGTGGTTAAGGTAGGTGCCAGGGGGGGTCTAACCATCTGAGGATATGGGACAGGAGCCCGAACGGGATCGGAATCGTCCGGAACTTGGAACGTTGGATGACGAGTTCTTGGGTCATGCACATTGACATGGAAGTATCCGGAACTTGACACTCCAGCCTTCACAGACCATCAAGGAGTGAAGACGGTTTCCCTGGGGGTTTTGGTTGTCTCAAATTCTACCCGAGGGATCCAGTCGTACCGAACCTCAGGCACCCTCCTGGCACCTACATAACAGTGCCTCCAATCACCGTACCTGAGGTTCGGTACGACTGGATTTCTAGGAATAGTATGGAATAGTAAAACTAAGGGCTGTTTTGGTACAGACCACCTGAGATGCCGGTTTAATGCCGTTTCTCACCGGTTTTCATCACGTGAAGCATCACCCTTTGAATTCGCCTTTTCAGACCGCCGTCTCGACCGTGGGGTGGCCGAGCTTCTGCTGAGGTCGAGCTTCTGCAAAGCAGGGAAGTTCCGGACTCAGATGACGGAAAGCCCCAGCATGGCACGTGCCTGTTTTGATATTCAGCTTGACATTCGACATGTTCACCTGTCTGTTCTTGTTGCTCAGAGTTCGGGGAAAAAAAACACAAAATAAAAGAAAGAAGGCCTTCATATTTGGAAGTTTGATTGATACTTGTACCAGACATTGGGTTGCAAAAAGTTTTTATTTTTTGGAGAATCTTGCTTGATATTTATAGGAATGATTTCAATCAAACAGTTGCATCTACACAGTGTTCACACTCAGTATCAAAAAAGTCTACTCGACCCAAATGCCTTCGCAATCATTCAGTAGCGGTTTAATATTTTAATATGACATGTCACCCACCCCGAACTGTCCAGCGGAAGCAAGTGTAGCATGTGACATGTATACACATCACTCTCGAGGTTTGTTGGCCATTTTTGAGGTTTCTCCTGAGGTCTTGTGGTAAAATGATTGCATTTGCTTCAGAGAAGCTTCGCTAAAAGAGAACATAATATAGACTATAAAGAAGTTGTGTACTGATTGTTTCATGTTTGACGCACAGGTATAGGTATGACAGCACATCTAAAAGTTTGTGAATCATGTCCACTGAGGGTGGGTTCGTCCAATGCTTTGTTTCGTTGTTGGCACTGTTTAGAACCTCTTCAAAGCACATGGTATAGGCATGTGCAGTGAACACGGTGTTTTTTGTTGGTGTCAGTGGCGAAGCACATGGCACTGGTTCAAATCTATATGACAGTATGTTCACAAGTTGTTTGGATTCTTCCAATTGATTGCGCGATGTTCACAATAGTTCCCATGCAGGGGTTCACACCGAACCTCAAGTGAAGGTTAGTTGGATCCCTACATTAATGATCTACTGATCAGACTCAATTGTCGGAAGCGTCGATGTCTATATTCCCCCAAGAGACAGTGGAGAGCGGAACCATGAGTGGAAGGGTGAATGCAGCTTTGATTGATATTCCAATATCTGATGAATGATTCTGGATCTTTCCCTATAGGGCTCCTGTCCCACATCCTGAGAAGGTAGGAACAGACCTCCCTGGCGCCCACCCCAACCACCGAACCTGAGGATGTGGGCCAGATTGGGCCAGGATCCCTAGGGTTTCTCGTTGTTCTGCGGGTCGCCCAGATCTCAAGGAGTCCGCACTCGTCCACTGCGGGAGCTGCCTCCTTCGCACTGATGAGAGCGGATGGAGTTGGGACGTCCAAGTGGGAGGAGTAGGAGTTCTTGAAGTCGACCGAAAGCCGAGAGCCGAGTTCTGGGAGTCATCCATTCCCACCCTAGGGATTGAAGTACCTTCTCAGCAGGTGATTGGAGACACCGCTATATAGGTTTGGAGGGTCCAAGTACCTTCTGAGAAGGTACTTGGATCCATAGGGCCAGTGACATATTCTCTGATGATCGGTGATTTCGGACACTCTTTCATCTATAATCTATATAGCTTGGAGGGTCCAGTCGTACCGAGAAGATCTGTGGATCCCTGGGATTGTATCAACTGGGACCGTCATCCTGTGACCGGTCGACTCTCACCGGAAGTCAAAGGGTGTCATCCTGCGACACGCTGGGGTGTCATCCTGTGTGGGTCAAGAAGGATCTACCCAGATGGACACATACAGGTTTGTCACTTGCAGGGTTGATGGAAGAGATGTGTTTGGAAACCTCCAAAAATGGGGCCAACACCGAAGGTTCTAGTGCCAAGGGTAGAGCTCTTGGAGTGTTACTTCGCACATACCCTCTCTCTCTCTCTGTCATTAACATGGAAGCAGAAGACTGCTTCCATCTTAGTTCCAGGGAGTGCAACTGGATCATGGTGCAGTTTGATGAGATAGTACCATGAGCATCGCGCAGGTGGCTTGCCACCGGGATGGGGCACCGGAAACAAGACTCTCATGGACCAGTGGCCAACAGAGCCTCGAAATACATTCAGTTCCAGGAACGAACCTTTGGACTACCCACCCAATCCGAGTTGCATCCATTTGCCTGTCTCTCGTTAGGCGCATTACGCCACCCTGCAGCGGAACCCGCAGGAGCACGGCACACCGGTGCGTACGCGCTGCTGACGCATATGCTGATGATTCATAGAGAACTGAACATCCAAAATCATGGGACACCCTACACAAAACAGGTACACCCCCGAAAACTAACATAGACCCTGACGTCCTGGCTCCCTGGAAGAGTGTTTTCCTCTACCAACCAGTTGTTTTCAGGGTCCATGGGATCGTCTTCCAGGGTGTACTTGCAATTAGTTTGAAGAACGACCATCAGGGCCAGGTTTGCTTCACCAAACATGTTTGGTCTAGTCCACTCATCATCCCAAGTGGGTTTTAGAACTCCCCTTTTTCTCCAATTCTTGCTGCTAGTTTCATGTGCAGTTGCAAGTTTTTACGATGGTATTGCTGTTCCTGCACTCTGCTCAAATAGCAGCTTGGCAAACATAAACCTGCCAAGGAAACACAGATAATTAGTTAGTTTCTTCAAACATATTTGCTACGAAGACATTGTCAGTGAAACATGTTCATGTTTCATGATAAGATAAGGATAGATAAGGTATTGTTATGCAACTAATGTGTTTTCATGTACCCTACAGCAAGTAAATGCAAACAAATAACATGCCGCGGTATCTTCTATTGACATCAATTCTTGTTCTTAGTCCCAAGCTCCTTGGAACTAGGAGACCTTTTGTGCTGCCAAGCTCTGCGATATTCTATGACAGTGTTTTGTGTTCTTGACGGTTGGCTTCTAGCAAGTCCGAATTCAGACCGACTCGCTTTGCCATGAGCAGCGGTTTGATCGATGAGGCAGTGGAATCTCCGGCATCTTACCTTGTGAGGCTATATCACTGCTGTTCTCGATTTCTTACAGCACTTGTCATCGTGACTTTGACGACATGGGCTGCGTTTTGTCTTGGTGAAAGCGCGTGCATCGGTGAGCCTAAAAGGCCAAGAGACTCCCTAACCCATTATGCCACCATGGTCCTTGTGCCTACAGGCGCAGCAGGTCTTGGAGCACTTTGCTTGTGGTGGAATGCCTCAACGCCACATATCCTAAAGGCCACTCACTTCCTGGTGGTGAACTGGGTTGGAGGTTTGGCTTCCCTGGGCCTCCTCAACTCTAATTCCTCCAATTGCAACGTTTCGACCAATATGTGGGTGGTTCTGAGAATTCTGATGCAAGTTACTGAATTTGTCCTTTTACAAGGGCTAATCCAGCATCGTTTTCAGAGTTTCTGGCCGGTGCTGAATCAGCCACGGCTTGCCAATTGCTTGCCACGAATGTTTAAGACGGAAGTCTTTTTGCTTGTGGCCGGGTCTGTTCTTGCTTTTGTTTTCGTGTTCGTCCACCTGTCTGTTGTTCCGACGTGGGGGTATGTGGCGACATGGGGGTTGCTGACATTAGTCCTCCTTTGCTTTTTCACCTGGGTGGTGTTAGTTGTTCTCACTTTGTGCTCTGTGGTTCGGAAGCTCCATGCGGCTGAACGCCTGGGTGCTGAAGAAGGGAGTCTGGAATGGTGCAAGGCTTGTCGAAGAGTCCGCCGAGCAGCCTTGCTGCAAGGCTTTGGGATGACAATCACATTGATGACCACGACCATTTTCTGTGGCATGGCTATTTTGGCATCAGAGGACCTAATGGAAGATCTTGATGCAGAGGCTCAGGCGGCTAGGCTGAATGCTGCTGTAATTGCCCAAATTGTGAACCTGCTTGTCAACGTCCTTGGCGTTTTCTTGTTTTCCGGAGCCTACCGGATGACGTGGCAGAGCTCAAAATTGCTCGCATCTCCAGAATCTTCCCCCTGCAAATGGCAACCTAAAAGCCCACAAGATGACCGGTGGGAAGCCAAGACCAAAGAGCTTGCTAGCCGTGGACTGCGTCTCCGGGATTTGTTGGCCTTTTACAAAAGGTTGGGGCAGGATTTGATGCTTTCGTACGAGCCTGGCGTTCACACTACCCAAGATGTTGTGAGACTGGCCATCATTCCTGAGACTTCATCGTGTCGCAGCTCCTATGCCCAACTTGTGAATCCTGGAGCCCAAGGTTTAACGCCTCGAGCCGGAGAGTTGGTTTGATTATAGGTTTTTCATTGGTTGGATTTATTGAACTGTCGTATTCGCATGTATTGACTAAGCATGTTTTACACATGTCTTGCTCGGCTGGATGTATACATGAACGGTGGGGGGCGATCCATGTTGAATATTCCCTAAATTCTCGATGAGGAAAGATGGTGACTCACAACTGGTCCAACCTCTTCCGCGACTTACTGGCAAGTGTGGTTGCCGATGCCTTGGGTGAACACACCATTGAGCTTTTCGCACAGTTGCTGGAGGTGGAAGGAGGAGTTTATGTCGTGGAAGAACTGCTGGAGGTGCAAGGAAGCATCGATGAGACCTACTGGATCTGTGCCTTTGCCGTCAATCAACACAGTAATATTTGCGGCGGCAATCCAAAGGGAGATGTGGACTCTGCCACGCAGCGTCCATACCCCATTTGTCCGTGCGCCGAGCCGAAGTTCTTCAACAAAACACCACCTTTGAATGACGCTGGAGAGAGCATTGGCTGTGAGTTGAACAAATTCGATGATGCCCAGCTGGGAAGTTCAACTGCTATATATATATATATATTTTTTATATATTTGTGTGTTTTTTCCTGGAACCCATTTGACCTCTGTTTTGATAGGAAAAGACCATATTTTGGGTGGTTGGTGGTCCAAAATAGAGGTCATTCAGGTTCTAGGTATGTATATCTCTTAGTCGCCTGTTGGCTTTCACTTTCGATAGAGCAATCCGCAAGCCGCAACTTCTGGGCCCAGTACTTCCTGGGCCCTGTACTTGGCACCATGGAGACGACGCAGACGGGCAGACGGAAGTTGTCCTAATTGTGAATCCAATGTGGAACCCCTTGGATTTTAGGATTCAACCAGAACCAGTTCATTTTGGGGCGTTCCTTACATCAAAAGATACTTGCTGAATCTTTTGAACAAAAGCACACACACAAAAAAGAACAAAACAACGACCCGTGTAGAGGGTGAGTTTGCTTGAAATAGGGTTCCAGCCACCATTAATTTAATGGCCTTCGACGAACAATCATTGTTTAACTACGTTTTACTATATAAGGGATACTAAGCGTTTTACACCACGTCAACCTTGAGAAACCATGAAGGCTAGGATCGATATCTACAAAGGTTCTCTTTTTCAGCGTCACCAGCTGAGGACATGATGGCCTACCTCTTTCAGCAGAATCCGTGGTTTGCACAGGTCGTGGCCGTGGATGCTGAGCTAACGCTTTTCACGCGCGCCTGGTGCGTTGCGGAGCTGGCGCAGGGGCAGCGGATGGGCATGGCACAGAGCCTGAAGCTTCGGAACAAGGCCGTTGTTAGCTGCAGACGGGGTGACTGACTATTGAATTAGACTTGCATCAAGCTTGCGTTTGCAAGACTTATCACAGCATGACACCATCCTGGAGCAACCTTCGTATGCCACGAACATGCCATCATAGGTCAAAACATGTTTTTTGGGAGCTGTTATGCCAAAATCAGCCAAGTGTCATTTGTATGCTCTTTGGGATTTTGACCTGCACCTGGTGCAACAGGACAGAAAGCGGGTCCAGCATTGATTATATAAAACCTACACCGCACACTCTGCAGTTCAGCTTGCGGATTCCAACGTTTGATGAAGGGCTCACTCTTGCATGCGCTTCAAGTTTCAAAAATTGGCAAACAGTCTATGGCGGAAATGTGCAGGAATATGGCGGAAATTTGCGGACCGGAAATTGGCAGCATATATATTTGTTACATACAAAAATTATACTGTACTCAATCCTATACATGGTTGCGGGGAAAAGAAGACCTTCTTGAACATGTTTGTTAATAACAGAAGGAGCGCTCACAGCGGCACGTTTTTGATTAGCTTATATTATAGTTTATCAAATTATATAGCAGTAGGAAAATCTTCATCGGGCATCCAGCCAGCAAAGCCTTCATCACATGCTGCCTGGGATTCTGTTTCCCTTCTCTGCTTTGGCCCAACCCTTGCGCAACGTTGCCAAAGGTCCCCATCTTGGTAACCAAGATGATCTTCTGTCTCCAAGGCCATTCATGTTTTTTCTACCAGCGACCATGTTTTTCTAGCTGTGCTAGATCTAGCTGCAATGTTGTGCAATTTTGTTGACAGCTCTGGTGTGGCGTGCCTTCTCCTTTCGGCTTAGTGCCAGCTGGCGCAAGGGGCGGAAGCCTCTAACTGGAACTGCTTTAGCATCCACCTCTGGTGTTACTTTCTCACTTTTGACCGACTCGTTCGGTGCATGATCAGTGCAGTCTTCTTCAGCCGTCCCTGTCTTCTTTGCTGGCACCACTGCGGTATCTTTCAAACTCTCTCAAACATTGGCCAGCCAATGAGGCTGCTATACCCTCAGCTACTTCATTCATCCAATCTGGAAACATTGTTTGGTGGGATTCACCTTTCAAGTTGAAAAGCTGCATGGTTGGCTTCTCCCTTGCAGCAAGGTGGCCAGCCAGTTTGCCTTCCCCAGCTGTGTGTCCTTCTGTTTTCCTGCGGCATGGTGTGCCAATTTCCTGGTTGAAGGTGGGCACTCAAAGGCTTTGATAATCCAACCTGACATTTGTACCAAGCATGCCTTCTGCAGTTTTTTTTCCTGCCATCGCAAGATTTGCCTTCCAGACTCTTGTTGCCATCATGCCTTCTACAGGCTGCCTTGCTACACTCTTCAAAAAGAACGTGCGAGTGTTTTTATTTGGGAAGCGTTGTTTTGGACATTCTGCGTTTGGGTACACATGAAGACATCTAGTACCACCTCGAACACTTGAAACATTCTACAATATTCTACACATACCATGGTGCAGGATGTTCCTTCTTTAGCCGGAGGAAAACACACACAATATATACGGACTGAGGAAGGAGCATGAGGATACCATGACCGATGCATTGGTGACCAAGCAAATTCCTACCGTATGTGTTGATTGCTCGACACCAGCACAGAGAACCACAGGGGACTCTAAAATGATGTTTTGTTTGTAGTTGTTTCTTTTAGGGGTGCGTTATTGCAGTGTTTCCACTGCCTAGCCACTGGCTGTAGCAGCAACAGCTAGTAAACGACCAATCCCTGAGAGCACCAAAGGCCGTGCTGCTGGAGCGTAAGCAAACTTTGGAATGCCTCAAGGTGCGAGGGATCGCTGAAACTGCTCCAGTTCCTTGTTTGACACACTCACATCAGGGGATACTGTATAGAACTGTATAGATGTTTGTTGTGTTGCCATAGCATAGAACCTGCAAGCAACAAAGTTCGGGCAATACCATGGCATATTAGTTTTTATCGATGGACATCGGTCTTTCCTTGCAGGTCGAAGAAATGCAAGCAACCCGACCGGCGGATAAAGACGTGATCCTGTCGAAGATCAAAGCGGATTTTGGCAACTATGCCAACTTCGACAGGAGCGGAGGGTAAAAACAGAGCCACTATCTTAAAGCCTACCTTGGGTACCAACGAGTTTGGGGGGCATGGTTTCAGGATGTTTGTAGGTATATATACCTAATTAGGATGAATTTTTGGTGCTGAGTGTTGTGGGGCAGAGTCATATTGGATAGGCAAAACCATGAAGCTAGGGAGTTTTCAGTTGGAATGATTACAAACACTGACAGGAACCGAATCGGATCTACTATACACCCAATCCAAACAATCCAAACAACTTAAGACCATATGGATCTAGGCAATACAGTATAGTTTGCAGATAAACCAATAAATTGGTTCCAAGCGGCGGTTCGAAAGAACACATATAGACCGACTGAACGGCCTTGGTTCCTCATAGAGCGGAATTCCAGGCGAAAGATGGAGGGGTTTCACTGCTAAAAGGAAACGATCCTTTGATGTTCCGGAGTGATCGGCACAAGTTGTCAGTAATTTGCAAAAGCTCATCTTCGACCCGAAGATGGGCCTAGTCACTGCATGGAAAAAAAGCTGATGCCTTGCAACAGATGGAAGAGCTCTCCCATGTCTTGAAATGGGTACGACTATCGACTGCAGTTGGCGATGCTTGGAATAAGTGAGATTCTGCTTGTTGTTTTTGTTCCCGATTCCATCCTATGGTAGGCAACCATGACCGCCCACTTTAGCTTAAGGCTCCCAAAGGTTGGTGTTTGCAACGCAAATCCAAGGATGGCCTGCAAGTGCGGCGAAAATGGTTTGTACAGTGAGTTCTCCATATGTCGTACAGCGAAAATGGTGCGCCGGTCGACCTCGAAGTAGACTTTGCAGTGGCACTTTCAGGAAATCCCACCACAAGAGTGGCGTTTTGTGTGGTCAGAAAATCGAATGCGCAGATGCAGGAATCAACTGCTGTTCTCCTGTCAATCCAAAAATCTACCAACAACCTTCAAGGCAGGCTTCGGATCGTCAGACTCAAGCTTACTGTACCTTATAATCTATGGATATGTATAAATAACAATATTTGCAGCATTCAGTATCATATATATATATATATCCAAAATGAGTATCAACAACATACCACCTGTATGTACTCCCACATGCTTCAACCATACCTGCCAAGTGTGTCATTTCCACATTACGCTGAAGATATATCAGTCTCCATCAAGCTCACTCAGGCATGGCGGCATGGGTGTGTGAGTTTTTTTTTGTATGTCTCCCATTGATTGTTTCCCCATTCAAGGCTCATGTCTCCCCATGTCTGAAAACCTATCCCTTCATCTGAAAACCGGAGTCCATCGCATGGCTCGCTCGCTCACCATACCCATCCGGTCCGTCCGACTCCGCGGCGGCCCCCATGACGTCGCAGGAGGGCTATGAGCTCACCCTACCAGATGGCATGATCTATTTCTGGGGCTCCTTCGACCACCACGCTGTGAACATCACGGACGAGGCCACAGGACCTTAAGAGCCGCCGACGCCCTGACGCCATGTCTCGGTAGTTGTTGCTTGTTTTCTGCGTGGTTACATGCGACCCTGCTCTGATCTAATCCTACTCTCATCTAGGTAGTCAATTTTGTCTAGTGAATGTTTTACTTGTTTTTTCTCGGGAAGGGCGTTCTTCTTACGCCATCGATTGGCCTTTGGCTCTTGGTTGGCTGACTCATAAGAGGGAATCTCCCCAAGTATGTGTACACCCCCTCGTGTTCTTCCCGTTCGGTCGGACGTCATTGAAGAACACATGCTTTGGGGCCTTGCAGAGGTCATGTCCTGAAGGTGTATCGCAGATCTTGGATCTTCCACTTATGCAACAGCCAAAAGCACCCCAAAGGCAAAGATTCTTACACTTGTGTGGAAGATCCAGGGATACTTGATCTTTGCTACCTCCATAGAAGATGAGCCCAAGACTTGAGCCAGAAAATCCAGCTACCCTATTCATGTATTCCAGTTCCATGGCATGGGATTGATTCTATACATCCCAGCGGTATTTTTTGGCAATGTTTGGTTCTCCAAAGAACGTGTTTGACCCGAATCGAGCCGAGCCCTTGTGTTTGGGATTGTTTGGGCAGTCACCAACATGCAGATTTCAACATCCTTTGACCTTGTCCTTTTGCTTTACAAACTCCCTCACCGAAGTTCCACTTGTCACTCCTCTTCTCCAACAGAACCTCAACTATCTGCATTATATAAGAAAAAACGTTCCAAAACCTGTTGCAAACCACTTTAAAAACTCAACCACCCCCAGAACAAGAACGGCCTCTGCTAGCCGCGGCGCTCTCCGCGTGGTTTCTTTGTTTTCAGCGCATTGAACGGCCTGTAGCCTCGGCTCTCCGCCGCGTGGCAGGGCGGGAAGCTGTTGGCCACCACCGAGCTGTGCTGCTCCGACTGGGACCCCACGGGAGAGCCCACCCGGCACGTTTGCGGTCGCGGTCGCGCATCGGAGCGAAGTTCCATTCGCGGGTGACCGAAGTTAGCTGGAGTCTACTATGACCCCCCCTAGGCTATCCCTAGACATTCCAGTCGTTTCAGATCTCTTCAGGCTTCAGGTACGGTTTTTTGTGTTTTTTTTCACCACGTCATGTAGGTGCGAGGGTCCAGTCGTACCGAACCTGAGAAGGTACGACTGGATCCATAGGGAATTAATCCCTAATTACTTATAGGAAAATAGCATTGGTGACTTGAGTACCTGGAGTCTCCCAGTAATGACCCTAGAAAATGGAACATGACCCGATTAAAAACAGGCAATTGTACTTGTCACCATCTTGTACCCATTGTTAGAGTTGTTTTTCTTGAGGGTCCAGGTATTTTAAACCCTTTCTTCTGTGTTGGGGGTCATGTCCCAACTTCCATCTAGGGAAGGAACCAGTCCGTTGGGTCCACTAAGTCCTCCAAGGCGGTGAAGCTGGACCTCTCCAGGAACGCTTCCTTATTTTATGCTGCTGAACCATCTATGCACCTATTTGATCCTAATCTATGGGATGTGAACTGAGATGGATGCATGATTTTTCAGCGACCAAGATGGTACATCCTGGCTTGGTCACCTGCGCCATCCGCTCGCTACCGCATGAAAACCAGCCAACGCCCCCTTTCGCTCTGAACGGAGGGGACACTCCCGAGACTCTCCGGATGGGACGCTCCCACTAGTTCCGTGCCTCCCATACCCAGACACTCTATGTATGCCATATATGCCTACATTGGGGTGGTTTTGGAGGTCAATGTAGGCATATATGGCAGTCCCATGGGTCGTGTCTGGGATATATGTCTGTACCGGACGTGAAGGTGGTCTCCTGTCCTGTCCGCGGCAGGTTCTACCGCTTGCGAGTGGCGCCGATGGTGGACGTGGGGCTCCTTTTGTGTAGCCTCGTGTGCATCGACCAGGTTGGGACGAGCGAAAGCCGCCCAAAACAGACGAATGTAACGCCCTGCCCATTGCGCGATGTACAATCGGTGAAAGCAAAAGTTGGGGAAGATCTGATCAAAAAGATGGGTGGGTCGTAGCCACTTGACCTTCTAATTTTATGTGATGTGTTTGGGAAGAGATGGATACCCTTTGCACCCAAAGAAGATGAAGACCAGATGTGTTCCAATGTCAAAATTGATATCTGGCGTTTGAAGACTTAAGATTTGGGAGGTGTGGTGTCGCTTGCTGCAGTGTCTACAACTTCGAACTGCAGTTTTTGGAGCAACTTCTTGCCAGCACGGGACCCCCAGCAAAAACCCGGACCAGTGCGCCTTGAGGCCTTGAGCCCGGACCAGTGCAAGCATGAAAGCTCTAAAAAGTGGGGCATCTCGACACGGCCTTTTTAGCACGGCTCTGGCAGTGGTTTGCAAGGACAGTGGGCTGCTGGACCATCGGAACGACGAACAAGACTACTTTGGGTCCGCTGGACCTCCAAGTGCATGACAAACGTACCTGGAGTCTCCAAGTACCGCTGGAAAATGAGTACAAGCAGGTTTTTTTAAGCTGAAGCTGTCTTCTTTTTAATGGAGTCATGTCCCATTTTCTGTTGTACTTTGGAAGGTCCAGGTATATATTGTTTGGACAAAATCAGGGGCCTTTGGTGGATGAACCCCCAATGACCACCCTTTCCGTTTAGATGGACGTAGGATGCCATGGTGCGTGCGGCGCATGCGGAGATTCTGGCGGCCAGGTGTCGGTGTTGAAGAGTCGTACCTGAGGGAGCCCGGCTCTTCAAGCCCTGTCGGTGGTTGAG